GGGGCCTTTAGCAGGTGATTGAGTCCTGCCTTCATGAATGGGATTAAAGTCCTCATAAAAGAGGCTGGAGGGAGCCACCTTGCTCTTCTGCCACGTAAGGGCACAGCATCTATGGAGGAGGAGCAGAAAGCAGGCCCTTACTTGATACCAAATCTGTGGACACCTGATCTTGTGCTTCCCAGCCTCCAGACTTGTGAGAAATAAATGTCTATTATTTGTAAGTTGCCCAGTCTAAGGAATTGTGTTTTGGCAGTCCAGGTCATAGGCAAAGGCTCTGGATAAACATGAAGTTTTGGAGGAGGACATTATTCAACCTAGTAGAGCCTCCCACCCTGCGAGGTCTCTCCACTTGGCTTCTCATCATTCAGTAGTCTATCTAGCCCAGGGATTGACAAGCTATGGCCTAGGGTCCAAATTCTGTTTTTATAAGTAAAGTTTTATTGAAACAAAAACACTCTCATTTTTCTTTTTTGAGACAGGTCTCACTCTGTTGGCCAGGCTGGAGTGCAGTGCTGCCAATCATGGCTCACTGCAGCCTCAACCTCCCAGGCTCAAGTGATCCTCCCACCTCAGCCTCCCAAGTGACTGGGACCACAGGTGTGCACCACCATGCCTGGCTAAATTGTTTTTAAAAACATTTTTGTAGACACGGAGTCTCATATGTTGCCCAGGCTTTTTTTTTTTTTTTTTGAGACGTTGTCTTGCTCTGTCACCAGGCTGGAGTGCATTGGTGTGATCTCAGCTCACTGCAACCTCCGCCTCCCGGGTTCAAGTGATTCTCCTGCCTCAGCCTTGAGTAGCTAGGACTACAGATGAGTGTCACCACGCCCAGCTAATTTATGTATTTCACCATGTTGGCCAGGATGGTCTCGATCTCTTGACCTCATGATCTTCCTGCCTTGGTCTCCCAAAGTGCTGGGATTATAGGTGTTAGCCACCGCGCCCCACCCTCCATTTCTTTATGTATTGTACATGGCAACTCTCAAGCTGCAATGGCAAAGTCCAGTAGTTTCAACAGAGACTGCAAGGCCCACAAGGCTGAAAATATTTATCCAACCCTTTACAGAGAAAGTGTGGGTACCTGTGATCCATCTCAGCTTCTCACATGGCAGCTGTAGCCTAAAAACAAATGATCCAAGAGGACAAGCTCCAGTGTGCAAGTGCTAATGGTCTCTGCTTGCTGACGTCTCATTGGCCAAAACAGATCCCATGGTAAAACCCAGAGTCAAGGTGGTAGGGGCTACCCACGGACCTGGATACCAGGAGCCCCACAACCCAAGAGAGTTTACCATGAGGGTGTTGGAGGTGCTGAAATGGAGGCTCAATGAGGAGACCTTTTCTTTCTTCCTTCCTTCCCTCCTTTCTTTCTTCCTTCCTTCCCTCCTTCCTTCCTTCCTTTCCTTCCTTCCCTTCCCTCCCTCCCTCCCTCCCTTCCTTCCTTCCTTTTTTCTCTTTCTTTCTTTCTTCCCTCCCTTCCTTACTTCCTTCCTTCCTTCCTTCCTTCCTTCCTTCCTTCCTTTCTCTCTTTCTCTCTCTCTCTCTCTTTCTTTCCTTCCTTCTTCTCTTCTCTTCTCTTCTCTTTTTTCTTTTCTTTTCTTTTCTTTCTTTCGACAGGGTTGACAGGGCGCGGTGGCTCATGCCTATAATCCCAGCAATTTGGTAGGCCAAGGAGGGCGGATCACCTGAGGTCAGGAGTTCGAGACCAGCCTGACCAACATGGAGAAACCCCGTCTCTACTTAAAAAAA